CCCCGCCCTGCGCCAGCCAGGCCCACGGCGGGGGCTCAGCCCCCCCGACCTGTCCCTGCCGGAGGAGGTGCCGGGGTTCCCGTGGCCCTGGGCTAGCAGCTGTGCCTTGTTTTGGGATGTTTAATTAGCACTCCCTCGCACCCGCTCAGCTGCGGCGGAGGGGTGGGAGCCGGCGCCCCGCAGTGCGAGCTGAGCGTGGAGCCCTCCCAGCTGTGTTTGCCTTGGCCAGATGTTTCGTTAAAGAGAGGAGTGTCCTCCCTCCAAGAAAGTCGTCGAAAGCAACATCGCTAATTAAACCCTCGGGACTACAAGCGACCTCACGCTGCTTCCTCAGCCGCCCCGCCGTGCCCGGAGCCCCCGGCCCTGGCACAGCCCTGGCTCCTTGCCAGAGGCACCGGCGAGGTTTGGGCCACCGGACAAACCCCGGGGCAACCTCCCCCCCCCCCCATTATAGACATGGCGCGTGAACGCGGCAGTGAATTTCAGTCCCTCAGCTTCTACGGGAGCAGGGGATTTGTTTGCTCCTCCCGAACGCGCCCCTTGGTGCCAGACCCGGTCGCCGTGGCATTTAACGTGACCTGTGTGGCGACGCAGGGTCGTCACCGGGCGCAGGAGGCGGTGGCTGGGGGACAGCGCTCCCCGCTCCCCTCCGCAGAGAAGGTCCCCATCCCCGGGGGACACTGCCAGCGCCGACCCCCCCCTGCCACCATCCCTGGGAGCAACGCAGGGGGCTGGGCGGGGGGGGGACTCGCTGCCAGCGCTACGCAAGCGGCGTTGCCTTTAACGAGGCTCTGATTCAACATTGTCCAGGCGGCAGCGGGGCTGCTTGGCCTTTGTTCGGTCGCTCGCTGGGGCTTTGTTTTCTTGCTCCGCAGCCCACCCCCGCGACGCTCTGCGCGTTCCCTGGAAGTTGGGTGGGGGCAGAGGCCTCCTTGCCGCCCCGATGGCCTGGGAGCTTCTCCCCCCTCTTCGTTAAATGGCAGCAGCCCTTTCACTCGGCGTTTAATTGGATTGTGTAACGCAGCGACGCCGCGGCAGAGCCCTGGTAGTTTCTATGCCAACGCGGCTGGATGGCGGCGCGGCCTGGGGAGGCAGAGGGGGACACGGCTGCACCCCCCGACACGGCTGCGCCCCCCACT